GGGGACCTGGATGGTAGGCCCAAGGGTGCAGGGGGTGCAGGGGGACCCGGATGGTAGGCCCAAGGGTGCAGGGGGTACAGGGGGACCCAGATGGTAGGCCCAAGGGTGCAGGGGGTGCAGGGGGACTCGGATGATAGTCCCCTGGCCCGGGGGTGCAGGAGGACCTGGATGGTAGACCTCTAGCCCACGTGTACAGGGGGACCCAGATGGTAGGTCCCTGGCCCAAGGCTTCAGAGGGACCTGGATGGTAGACCTCTGGCCCACGTGTACAGGGGGACCCAGATGGTAGGCCCCTGGTCCACATGTGCAGGGAGACCTGGATGGTAGGCTCCTTGCCCACTGGTGCAGGGGTACTCACAGGGTTGCCTCCTCTGGCCTGTGTGTGCAGGGGGACCCGGATGATAGGCCCCTGGTTCACATGTGCAGTGGGACCCCCATGGTAGGCCCCTGGCCTGTGGGTGAAAGGGAGTCGAATGGTCGGCCCCTGGCTCACGTGTGCAAGGCAGAGAACTGTGTGGCAGTCCCTGTGGCCCGCCCACCAGGGACCGCAAGTATTCTGCCACAGGAGGCCCTGGGGTGAGGCCCAGCCTTCCCAGCCCACCTTGGGGCTTTGGCCTCTTGCTGTGTCCTCCACAGAGGACGGAGCCAGGTTTGAGTGCATGTTGGGATGATGAGGGATCTGGGCATCTGGTAGCCCCAGTCCTTTGACAGCCTCTCAGAAAGGAGTGCGTGTGGCGTGTGAGGCACCAGGAGGACTCGGTGTGAGGTGGGAGGTGGGCCCGGTTTGCCAGCAGCCACGTCAGTAAGTGGTCTGCAGCTGTCCAGGATCTCAGGCAGAAAGGCACCCTAGTGGAGTCTCCGGACAGCAAAMGGGGCACCGCTGTGCTCACTGGTGTTGGGAGGGGAGGAGCAAGTGGCTGGGAGCACAGAGCTGATGACCCAAGTGCCCTTATAAGGGACAGCAGGATCCTGGGGTGTTGAGCCTCACTCGGAAGGAAGCGCACGGCAGACTCCCTGAGGCTGAAGGGCACTCCGGGGACAGCAGCAGGGGGTTAGCGGAAACCCCAAGCTTTGGGTGGATTCAGGAGCACAGAAGTGGGGCTTCCACAGCTGCCCTGTGGGAGGCGGGTTTTCTGACTGGTGCCCTCACCCAGGGGCTGAACGGAGGAGGTGACACGCACCAGAGTGTTCTCAGGTCTTAAAACGTCCTCCACGGGAGCATGCCTGGTGCTCACAGGGAAAGACGACTCTGAGCAGAGCTGGACCCTGGCGTGAGGACTGAGGGGACAGCCAGAGGCCAGGCCTGGCCTCCAGCTGGACATCCTTCCCTCCTTCTAAAACAAGCGGCAGTGCGATGGGCTAGATGACCACACTGGGCCCACGAGGCCACGGACTGGGCAGCTTTGAAGTCTCCCTGTCCATCTCCTTTGCATACTCAGGGGGTATGCAGTCCCCACCCTTCCAGTCTCATTGAGAATTTGACAAGAATTCCCCCCAAAGGAAGCCMAAGCACCCCTAGGAGAGGCACGTTTGTGGGAGCTCTGCCATCGATGAAGTGGCCGCTGAGGGAGCCACTGAAGAGCCGGGTTCCGCGGGGCCCTCTGGAAGGCGTCCAGGCCTCCTGGCCCCAGCGCAGGGGAGAGCAGGGGCGCCGGCTGGGTGGGGAGCTCTGTGCTGCCCTCCTCGGTGCAGAACCCCAGGAATCTGGAAAAGCCCCACAGAACTGCTCATAGGTCCAAGCTGGACATCTCAGACACGTCCCTGCCTAGGCAGCCTCGGACGTCAGAGGGCCTGAGCCGTCCCCTCCCCCAGGAGGAAACGGTGAGCCACCCGCCGGGTCCCTGTCTCTGCTTGCTCCTTACGAACAGGTGATGGGCGAGGTGATATCTGTAAAGATGATTTTGACAATGACAAAGTCCCTGACATCGATGATGTGTGTCCTGAAAACTACGCCATCAGCGAGACAGACTTCAGGAACTTCCAGATGGTCCCCTTGGACCCCAAGGGAACCACCCAGATTGACCCCAACTGGGTCATCCGTCACCAAGGAAAGGAGCTGGTCCAGACGGCTAACTCAGACCCCGGCATCGCTGTAGGTAAGCCTGAGACCCGGCAGATGCCCCCAGGTACCCACAGGGGACCTGCAGGGTCATGCGGGCGGGAATCAGCATGACCACTACAGGAGGCSAAGCTTGCTCGGTGTGTGAAGCCATCTGCCCACACCTGGACAGGGTCGGGGTGCCCGAGTGTGCCCTGCCACGCCATCTTGTCCCGTCACACAGTGAAGGCTTCTCCATGGAAGCTGCCCCAGCAATCTCTGGGATTCCCCTCATTGACCTCACGCTGCGAACCCGGACCCCCAGGCAGCTCTCCACAACCTGGCGGGGGCTGGGGGGCTGCCCCGTGCTCCCCACGGATCCCCGCGTGTCCTTTGGAGTGCAGGCTTCGACGAGTTCGGGTCCGTGGACTTCAGCGGCACGTTCTACGTCAACACGGACAGGGATGACGACTACGCGGGCTTCGTCTTCGGCTACCAGTCGAGCAGCCGCTTCTACGTGGTGATGTGGAAGCAGGTCACCCAGACCTACTGGGAGGACCAGCCCAGTCGGGCCTACGGCTACTCTGGGGTGTCCCTCAAGGTGGTCAACTCCACCACGGGCACAGGCGAGCACCTGCGCAATGCTCTGTGGCACACAGGAAACACGGAGGGGCAGGTGAGCGGCCAGCGCCAGCTCCCCGACGSGGCCTGCGTCCCCACACCTTCCCACGGTGGCCTCTTGTGAATCTTAACTAAGTGACAGTCCTTTCAGTGACCACTACTGAGTGCCTGGTGCTTCCAGAAACTGGGTTGGAACTCCTCTTGCCAATTGAACCTGTGTCCACCCCGTCTGTGAGACAGGGAGGACTGAGTTCCAAGCTGAGGTGTCTTGCCCTCAGGTCCGTGACTGTGGGCCAGCGCCTGGGTTCTGACCACTGGCCACGTGGCCCTGGGCACAGTACCGTGCCTCACAGGCAGTGCTGTGTGAGGTGCAGGTGTCTGTGTGGCAGACAGCGCCAGGGATGGAGGAACAGAGTCACAGGATGACTCCTGGGGGGAGGCTCAGGGCGCCCAGCGGGCTCAAGAGCGAAGTCTCCCCCTCAGGTCCGCACCCTGTGGCATGACCCCAAAAACATCGGCTGGAAAGACTACACGGCCTACCGGTGGCACCTGACCCACCGGCCCAGGACAGGCTACATGAGGTAAGGCCCCTGCTCTTGTGAGAGGGTCCTCACGCAGGACCGCCTCCCRCACACGGCAGGCTCGTCCAGAGACAGCGACCCAAGAAATGCGGTCCTCTGGGTCCTCAGAGTTAGAAGGTCTCTTTAAATAGATAACGCATCTCTATAATATTTCATTTATTTAAAAGAAAACTGTTGAAAAGTAGACATGAAACTTGTTAAAGTGGCTTGGAGAGGGGGTGTCTTCCCGCTCAAGGACACCCGAGGCAGGGCCACCACCGAGGAGACCCTGCCGGGAAAGGCCGCGCTTCCCCCAGCCTGCACCCCTGGTGGTGGTCACCTCTGACCCGTGCCTGGCTGGACGGAGACGTATGTTTGAGTGAAACTGTTCACAACTCTCAAGGCAACAGATGTGCACTCCTGGGCCCCACTGCATATGGCATTTGTAACAGATTTTGACTAAAATGAGATGTGAACAGTTTAAAGCACTGTCTTGCGACGTCAGTAGGCGAGATTCGGCTGGACTCTGTTTGCTCTGCTGAGCCCAGGACCCGGCACTGCCAGGCCAGCTCTGCAGCACGGAGCTCACCTCTGGTTCTTTGCAGAAGCCAGGAGCCCAAGCTTCTGTGGGTGGGGCGTGTGGCCCCGCAGAGGGCCCCGTCACTCAATCACGCTGGGTCCTCCTGGAGAGCAGCCACACGTCAGGCTGCTCAGGGCAGGGACAGTAGGGCCGGCGCGGCGCTCATGGTGGGGAAGGAGCCCGTGCGCCCACGGTGTGAGTGAGAGACGGAGCTGCATCCAGGGAAGGGGAAGTGCCCCCAGGCAGAGGCCCCTGCACACCAGAGGCTGTGGCACACTGGGCGTGGTGGGAGCTTCACGGAGCTCAACTTCTTCCACCCCAACCTGATTTTCAGAGTCCTAGTGCATGAGGGGAAACAGGTCATGGCGGATTCAGGACCAATCTATGACCAAACCTATGCTGGCGGACGGCTGGGTCTGTTTGTGTTCTCTCAAGAGATGGTCTACTTCTCGGACCTCAAGTACGAATGCAGAGGTGAGCGCACACCAGCGTCCGCCCTCAGGGGCTGGCGTCCCACACTCCCGTCACAGAAGCCGCGCGCCCACGCAGCTGACCCATGCAAGGCTGTGCCTCGGGGGTCGTGGATTCCCAAGGCAGGGTTCATGGGGGAGCGCGGCTGTGGGGGTGTTGTAGTTTGCTTGTGGTTTTGAGTTGGATTTGAAAGCATTTGTAGGACAGACACTTGTTGATCATTCATAAGGCTCAACCCCACGAACCAGAGCCTGCAGCTTGCTGTGCCGGCCACACTTTCTGGGCCTCTAAAGGCATTTCAGATGATTGACCTTGCTAAAAAGTGAAGAAATGAAGGGAAGAAGAAAGAAAGGAAGGAGGAAGAGGAAGGGAAGGAAGAGAGTTTCTTCCTAGTTATACACCTACAAGTGTATTAAAATACCATGAAACTGGAAGGGAACTCGACTGGTCTAGTCTAATTCCATGCCTTGACAGATGAGGTAAGTGAGACTTGAGATGCTTCTCAAAGTTCGCACATGGAAGATCTCATACAAAGCAAAAGGGAGGGAAGACAAGAGTCTTACTTTCTCTGCTTGCTTCTGGTAAAGTTTTCTTTTCCTTATATTAGGGTGACATTGAGGACATCCTATGTTTCCATCCATCCATCCACCCATCCATACACCCATACACTCATCCACCCATTTACCCACCCCCCATCCATCAATCCATCCATCCATCCATCCATCCATCTATCCATCCATCTACCCATCCATCCACTCAACCATCCATCCATCCACCCATTCACTCATCCATTCATCCACCCATCCACCCATCCACCCATCCACACATCCATCTATTCATCCATTCACCCATCTACCCATCCACCCATCCGTCCATTCATCCACCTTTCCATCCATCCATTCATCCATCCATCCACCCACCCACCCATCCACCCACCCATCCATCCACCCATCCATCCACCCATCCACCCACCCACCCATCCATCCATCCATCCACCCACCCACCCACCCACCCACCCATCCACCCATCCACCCATCCACCCATCCATCCATCCACCCATCCACCCATCCACCCATCCACCCATTCACCCATCCATCCACCCATCCATCCACCCACTCACCCATCCACCCATCCATCCATCCATCCATCCACCCATTCACCCATCCATCCACCCATCCATCCACCCATCCACCCATTCACCCATTCACCCATCCATCCATTCACCCATCCACCCATTCACCCATCCATCCATCCACCCACCCACCCACCCACCCATCCATCCATCCTCCTGATGTCATTTTAAAATCAATAATCTATGAGGTGTAGGTAAAATGGAAGAGAACGCCTCCCAGCCCAGTCACCCTAACTCTGCTTCTTGCTTTCTTTCAGATGGCTAGGCGAGACGGCCACTCCCAGCCACAGCTGCGAATGCTGTTCCCCAGACACCTCGGCCCATCCAGACACCTGCAGCTTCTCTCTCTTTAGCGGCACTTCCTGTTCTCCGACCCTAACTGGCTGGTTCTTCACCTTGTGCATCGACCCCAAGTCCACGTGCCTCCAGAGGACAAACGTCGAGGGACCCCAGAGCCGAACATCTGACCCGGTGCAGGCGAGCGGCAGGACCGTTGGGACTCCGCAGAGTGGATCTTGAGCAGACTCGTTGCCTTTTCTTGTTTGTTAAGAATGRCGTTTACGTGGGAAACGTGCTTACTGTATTTATGTGCATATGGAGCTGAAGGGTTACTGTGCACAGGTCGTTAACATAAATTAAGCATGAAAAGTCCTGCTCCACCATGCCCAGTGCTGACGTTTCTTGGGTTAGTGCTGTCCACTGACACACCCAACCCTGAGGTCCACCAGGAGGGTCAGGTAGGTGTGTGGGCAGTCCCATGAGGCAGAGATCAGCAGATGCTTGTCACACAGCTGTGGCCAGCATCGAGTGATGCAAGGTGCCGAGCACCTATGGAAAACTGCTCCAAAAGTCGACAGGTACCCCCCAGCCCACAGTGGACAACCTCACACTTGGTGGGACACCAAGAGGGACTGCCTCTGAGCAATGGGCCTCCCCTGGCTCTGTCTGGGGCCTGGTAGAGTCTCCCTGGGGTGGAAGTTCAGCAGAGCAAGTGCCTCTGCTTAGCCGCTGGTCCTGCGGCAGTGTGGTGAGTGTCCTGGCCAGCGTCACTGGGGCTGCTGTCTGCACAGGGCTGCTGCTTGGCTCTGCCTGGTCTCTGCTCCTGGGGAAGAGACAAGCAGGCAAGCCAGCCAGTGCACGTGGTGCCCGATTCATGTTCTAGGTTTTGGAAACTGGGAAAGTCGCTTTTACCTAATTCTGGGAACACATTGCATTAAGGTTTCAGCTGTAAGTGTTTGGCTAATATTTATTAAGTGAATAAAGAATGCACTCCAGCTGCCAATAACTTATTTCAAACATTCCGACTAACATGTATGTAGCATGATTTCAAGAAATAAACACGTCACAAGGACATAATAATATAAAGACACAGTTACAGCCAAATACCTGCTGTCTAAATTTGAGGCTTTGTACTGTTACTGCGCCATGTTAAGGCACCATGTGAAAGGCACCGGGTTAACAGGTAGCTTGCGTAACTGGTAAGGGGACCTTAGTATATACTGCTACCAGTGACTTTCAATTCAACATTTTTTGCTGTTACCTACCTGCTGTACACTGAACTTTTTTATTTGGATGCTGAAGAAAATTCAGCAAGGGGTCTTGCCAGACACACGCAGCCATCCGCCACACAGTAATGGACATGTCTGCTTCGTCCTTGCTTTGAGCAGCAGGGTCTCTGCACGAACTGGCCATGCCCACTCCTCCCCAGGGTGCGTGGAGAGCTCTCTGGCTGGCTGGCACAGGGCAGGGCCTCCCGTCTGTCCGTGTGGTTGCTTGTATGTGTCTAATGGGGGAACCCACTCTGTCTCCGCTAACACACTTCACGTTGATGCGGTATGTCGTTGCTTACTGCAAGGTGACAGCTCTGTCTGCTGCACTTCTGCTTGTGTGGATCTAAGTTCCTAGAACCTCGAGGGCTGGGGCACTTCATCAAATGTGACGCTGAGCAGAGTGTGTGCAGGCCTCTGGGGGCTGGCAGGTGGCAAGAGGGTGCAGGATGAGGATGTGAACACCCAGAATGTACTATATGATTTGTAAATTATTTATGTCTTTTTTAAAAAACAAGCTTCTCATATAGGTTAATGAAAATATTTGTTTTGCAAAGATTGTAAATATTTATTTATTTGTTCACATGATCAAAATTTCACCACTGAAACCCTGCATTTAGTTAGAGCCTCATTTTTATACTTCAAAGATCAACAACCGGAAATAAATTATAAAGAAGGTTTTCTATAAATCAATCTCTCTCCCTTTTTTATAAAGAATTAGCAGGGTTTCTGCTGGGGGGAAGGGAGAAAATCCCCAATAAGGAGCACTGAGGTTTTGTCCCCCATAAGTGACAGATGTCACTGGGTTGCAGGGGCCCGTGACACTCAGGTTGAAGGGCAGGCTCATGGTCCCAGTGGAGGGCCCTGCAGCTCTAGGTAACAGGACCTACCCCCTAAGGGCCCGTGCTGTGCAGGACACCAGCCCCAGCCCTGCCCCAGGTCTAAGGGGCACAGGAGACTGCCCTCTCACTGACGCTGGTCTGGGGTTTCTGGGTGCCCTGGTGGAGTCCATCAAGGAGGGACAGAGAGCAAGACAGAGACCATGAGAACTTTGAGTCAGTGGSGTGAGTCCGGCAGTGAGAGCTGGGGCTGTGGGAGGGGCCCTCGGCAGCAGGACCCAGGCTGAGTGCTGGCCTGCACCCAGTTGTGGGCGGTGGATGTGGGTGCAGAACTTGGAGGCAAGGCTCSGGCCTCCGTGAGATGCAGGAGCCTGGGAAGCCGAGGAACAGAGCCACGAGGGAGTGATTGGGACTGGACTGGGGAGTCCTGGAAGGAAGCTGTATGCACATCTTACCTGAGAAACAAAAAGTGTCCGTGCGTGCTTGGCGAGGCCCGGAGCTGGGATCTCGCCCACACAGTGCGTTCCCACGTGTGCACACACCAGGCTCTGACCACCTCTCTTCCACAGCCCCGGGACCTCGGAGCCCAGCTCAGGGCGAAGGCTCAGTGTCTGTCCTCCCAGGACGAGGTGTCCCTGGAAGCCAGAGCTTCCCAGGAGGGACACAGCTGCCGTCTCTGCTGCTGCCGCGGCTCGGCGGTCTGTGGAGTGGCCTGCAGTCTGTGGCCTGTGGGCATTTCCAGGGTTCCCATAGAGGCCACGCAGAGCCCTTGGCAGCCTGGCCTGCCTGGTCACCTCAAAGACCTGTCCTTTCTGGCAGCCACAGCGGGACCCTGTCACTCCCAGGCTGCCTTTGCMGTCAGGCTTGGAGCATTTGCCATGCCCGACGCACTCACCCTGCAGCGCCCGCCTCCCCCACACGCCAACGCTCATGCAAGCTGATGTTTCGAGGACTTGGCTTCCAGCAAGCCACACTCTCCATGTGCCTGGACACTGGTGCCTTAGCCAGGGGACACCACAGGGGTGGGGTTTGGACTGAGTACCGCATGGACGGAGGTGAGAAGTCTGCGTGGTGAGTGCTGGTCCTGCAGGAACCAGAGGCTCTGGGAGTGCAGCCCACACTCTGCAAGGAGGGCTCTCTTCTGTGGTCACTCTGCAGAAAGGACCCTGTGGCTGCAGGGAAGCCACACTGTGAAGTTGATCCTAGGGGACCATGGGGGAGGGGAGGGAAGAACAATAAAACACTCCCATTTCACCTGAGAGCCACTGACTTGCTCTCAAGTTGTTCAGACAAACTCGTTTCTTCCTTCAGTGGATTTCTTTCTCCTTCTGCAAACACCTTTCCTCCCCTGACTGAGGAGCACGCAGGACTTCTCCCATTTGAAACAGAAGGAAGAACCATCTGGGGGGGTGCTGAAAGGCTGGGGGCCAAGGGGAAGGTGGGCAGCTCCAGCCGCCCTGGGAGCCAGGGAGCTCCAGCAGAGGTCCACGGGTGCTCTCTGGGGTCCTGAGAGCCCCGGCTGCCCGGGACACCGTGAGCGTGACCAGAGGCGCTGGCCCTGCAGCTCAGCGGGCACACTGAGAGCCTGCTGGATTTCTGGAGGGATGCTGTCCTTGTTTCCCCCAGGCGCCGTGACTTTCCCTCCGAGGAGCTACTGCGTCTCGAGGATGCTGGAGACACCGCGGGATGCAGCTGTCACGTGTGTGTGGCAGGCAAGCGTGCATGGCTGTGTGAGCCTATGCCTGCACACGGGCGTGCCTGGGTGTGGACGTGCTCACCCCAGGAAGGACACCACGCACAGGTGGCGTTTGGAGACTGTGTCTGGGTGACCCCCTCGGTGCTCCACGGGAGGCTGGGGACACAGCCCTCACGGCTGGCCGCGCCACGCTCTGGACCCGTGGGGCACCAAGCACTGCGCCTCATCCGTCGGTGTCCAGGAGTCTGTACCCTGGACAGGGTGCTGGACAGCAGCTGAGGGTCATCTGGAATTTTTTCTGAGGAATTCCATTTCTTCTCTGGTTTGGCTTTGGGAATCTGCTCTTTTCTGCCAGAATAATCATGCCTTTCCTTGACAGGAAATGAGGGGCCTTCACAGACGGCCGCCTGTTGGGGTTTGCAGGGCTGCTGCCTGGGCCTGGGCTCTGCTTTGCAGTCTATGGACAGCTGGGTCTGGGTCTCCCTTGCCTTCCTCCGGGCCGGGAGGCGAGCTCGGGCTCTGTGGCTGATCAGAAGGATGGACCAGGCCTGTGGAGAGGGCCCCTCACTCTCCTGGGACCCTGGTGTGTCCGAGGGCCAGTGGGTGTCACACCACCAGAGCTTGGCTCGACTTCATCTGATAACCCGACAGCGTGGCCGGTGCCCTCTGGGCTGGTCCACAGTGCTCCACAATGCTGCCAGGGCAGGTGGGGGCATCTCTGCCGGGGGGAGGCCCCTAGAAGAGCACCCATGCCCAAACTGTGAGGCCAGCACCATATTGCCATTGGTCAACAGACACAGGTCATGAGAGGTGGCCTGGAGGTCCACCATGGGCTGTATCCCCAAAGCGGCCTGTAGTATGAAAGGAGGCTTGTCTCTGGGGTGCTGACCCCAGAGAGCCTTGCAGGATGCTCACTTAGCCCTGTCACTGCCATGGGGAAAAGCCACCAAGTCCACCAAGGGACAGGCCACTCGAACAGAGGGTCTTGTGCTGACACACACTGAACAGGAGTCCCCTGCCTTAGCGAGGCTGCAGGCCCGAGTCCAGGCCCGCGGTCCCGCCCAGGCCGAGAGATGCAGGGCTGGCAGCAGGTTGTGTGTGCGCACAGGGTGAACACGCACTTGTGAGCATGCGCCATGAGTGTGCCAGCTTGTGAGGAGGGTGGTGAGCTCAAGCTCAGGACACCTGGGCCAGTCTTCAAAGTACAGGGACAAGCCAGGAGGAGGAGCGCGGAGTTCCTGTCTCCTGGGAAACTCAGCCGCACAGACCTGGGACTACGGTGCCGTGGGTGGTGACGTGGGACTGTGGTGCCGTGGGTGGTGACGTGGGACTGTGGTGCTGCGGGTGGTGACATGGGTCTATGGTGCTGCGGGTGGTGACGTGGGACTATGGTGCTGTGGGTGGTGACGTGGGACTACGGTGCTGTGGGTGGTGACGTGGGACTACGGTGCTGTGGGTGGTGACGTGGGACTACGGTGCTGTGGG